CCAACCGTGTGGAACTCCAATGGGAGGCCGTGAGCCTTATTGTCTCTCTCTCTCTAATTCTTCTCCATTTCGGCACCACTCCGGCCACAAAACTGAGGTGATTGTATCATCGTTGAAATAGCAGAACTACACATTATTTCCTCACAAAACAGTACAATTGGCACTTTTAATTGAAACAGGAAGATAGCAAGGTAAGCAAAAGCTTCCCATTAGAAGAAAGTCATACATCAAAAACTTTGTCAGGGTGGTGTGACTTTTTGTTTACATTTTTGAAGGATGTCGCACAACATCGTCTGCTCCAGATGATCTGTTAAGTCTGTTTTTCGGCATTGCTCTCCATTTAATTTTCCAGGTTTATCTTTTATGACGGTATCAGTATTTTTATTTGAACCAATGCGTACCCAAGAGTCTTCCAGCCACTGGTTTTCGTGAGCAGACTGGCAGTTTGACTGACCAGGCATCTGAACAGCTTTGTTAACCTCCTTGGATTTCATTCCTTTCTGTATATTTTCATTTCTCCAGGTATTTCTGTGTTACTATTGTTTTAATAATTATTCTAGGTACAATGACTCGCCAAGTAAAGAAAAGGTACTGTGCTGTTTTAAACTGCCAGAGCTTCCAAAGCAGTCCACCCTCTCCAGACGATACAAAATTGACCAAGTTTCCCAACGACTTGTACCGGTAAATAATATGCTAAACACTGCTAAAAACAGCTTCTGGAATTCATGGAGGAAGAGTCGTAAAAATATTGCAAAAGTCCTATAGATTTAACGTGTCACTAATGCCTTTTAACAATCACTAGGCTTCAGATATGGGTCCCGGTCTGTGGAAATAAGGCAATCCTTAAAATAAAAAATCTGTCAGCCTGTATTTATGGTGTTTGCCGGAATCATTTTAGAGAGGAGGACTTTGACCATAGGAAAATTTTATTTAGGCATGTTAATCCCTCCCAAAACCTTCCCTCACCCTTGCCTGCGGAGGACATGGCACAGTGGGTCCTTGGACTCAATCAGCCTAGTTCTCCAGCTACAGCTGATCCAGACCAGATGCTTGGTATGTACAACTATGATGAGGTATCATTAGTTTTAGGCCTACATTGTTTTTATAATTTCACATTTATTTCCTTACTCAATCCCATGTGCATTAATTTTACAGCTAATGACGAGATCAACACTGCATCAACTGTTGAGGAAGTGGTGCAGAGTAACACTTCACACAGTAGCCGTCAGTACATTTTTAGCACAGGATACAGTATATTTGGAAAGTCCACTCTCATTTACTTAATTTTTCACATGTTTTTAGGTTCTATGGAGAGACATGGTGCTAAGAATAGATCCCCCAAGAAGGAAAGGTACACAATTTCCAAAATGTTATTGGAGTGTGGTATTAATCCACAAATGGCCACTCAATCCCATAAAATTATAGCCAAGAAGGCTCAGCAAGTGAGATCCGATGCTATTAAATTGATAGTAAAGTTGGAACGAGCTCAACGAAGAAATGGTGTTTTAAAAGCTCTCGCCACACAAAAGGCTGTTGACACTATTCACGATCTCCTAGTATCTCCAGCAGCAAGGACCATATTAGAATTTGAACTGAAGAATTTTAAAAAGAAACCAAGAGGCCGGAGGTGGACTCGAAAAGATAAATTGTGGTGTCTTTCGATTTTCAAGAGAAATGCCAGTGTGTACAGATTTTTGTGTAGCTTGCTAACCTTGGCCTCTCCTGAAACTCTTAAAAATCTGACATCTGAAATTGTTCTGGAGCCTGGCTTCCATGAAGCTGTTCTAAAATCAATGGAAAGTCGTGTTTCTAAATGGAGTGCAAAAAAAAAGGATGTGTGTGATAATGTTTGATGAGATTGCTCTGTTGAAGGGTATATTTGTGAATACTTCTGAGGGCAACCTTGATGGATTTGAGAATTATGGTCATTTGGGCCGCACCAGCTCAATTGCCACACACTCTCTTGTATTTATGATTAGAGGGGTGAACTCCAATTGGAAGCTACCCATAGGATATTTCTATTCTCACAATTCTGTACCCTCTGACGTTTTGAAACAACTAATAGTTGATGCCATCAAGATGTGCAGAAGCATTGGCTTGAATGTTGTGGCCTCAATTTCTGACCAGGATTCCACTAACAGAGGTGCTATTAACATGCTGAGAGATGATTGTGAAAGGGGAGAATATGAATCTGTTTATGAAATTGATGGTGACTTAATAGTTCATTTGTGGGACACTCCACATCTGTTGAAGAACATACGCAACAACCTTCTTGTGGCAAATTTGAAATTTGGCACAAAAGGGCAATGTTTAGCAAAGTGGTCTGATGTGGTGAGCTATCACAAAATGGACCTTTTGGAATTTGGGAACAAATCTGGGCTGACACATGACCATGTGTACCCCACTGGCAAGATAAAAATGAGAGTTAAGCTTGCTGCTCAGGTGTTAAGCTACAACGTGTCTAGTGCCATCTGCAGCATTGCTGTTGCCAGTCAGGGCCACAAGTTGGCCGATTGCTTGCAAACTGCCAAATTGCTATACAATGTGGATCTCCTTTTTGATGTTTGCAATGGTCCTGGGCACCGAGACAAACACAAAACCCAGCGCTGTCATGTCAGTGAAGGTTCAATTCACCACTCTCTTTGGAGAAAATTCTATACATCTATGGCTTACTGGAAATTTGTCAAAAAAGTTTCTCACAAAGATGGTCAAGTCACTATCCATGACACTGTTCCTCCCTGTCTTTCAGGTTGGAGAGAAAACCTGAAAGGGCTTCAGCGCCTTTGGACAACTCTGAAATCGATGGGATGCAAAGAAATGAATTTGAGGAGGTTCAACCCAGAC